GCAATTAAAACCTTTGAAAATGACTCAACCATCATTATGATCCATTAAAAAGCGTGTGTATATCACTACTGAAAAGAAATGCGAATCATGTTTATTTAAAACAAAACAAGTTTTTAATAGGAGGTTGCTATGAGTTCGTGTATATAGTCATTAAACAAGTATGGAATTTCCGAAAATTTAATACATTATAAATTACATTCAATTTTTCAATACAAATATATTTTCTTTTACAACGTTGTTAATTTTTGCAACCATGGCCTCTAATCTTTTAAAACTGCCCTAGAAATTTTTAATTGAGAATAATCAAATCAAGGATCTGCACTTTTTCCAATGAGTGAGCTCGACCTTTCAGTAAACATGTGTAGCAATGTCAATCCTGTAGATGTGACATGCGCATGATTTTTTTTTTCAAATCATGCAATGTCAATACACAATTTTATTCAAAAAAAAAATGTGAATTTTTAATTTTTACCGAGTTATTATTGATGGATGATGATATTATTGATAGTATTTTAAGAAATGACAAATCAAAAATTTGGTCTCATTTGTTAAACTGGCTAGATTTGATAATTCAGCTCCTATTTCATTAGCTTTGTTTCTAAAAGGAATTGGTTTACTTTTTCTTTATAATTGATAAAAAGAGAGATAAACTATTGACACCTGAATGTGCTTTAAATTGATATATATTTTATTTTAATTACAAATTAAAATGCCCAAAAAATACTAACAATGATAATATGGTTATTACAATTGATGGTGATGGAAATGTGGGAAGTGATGATGATGATGAAACAATTAGAATAGAAAGTGGTGAAGAAGAATGCAATGATAAAAAAAGTTCATCATGCACATATAATTTCATTGCATGAATTGTATGAGACGAAGGATGGAGTATTTATCATAACAAATTTAGCAACAGGTGGAGAGTTATTTCATCAACTGTTACTCAAAGGATCATATACAGAAGCATATGCAGCAAAACTTGTTAGACAAATCCTTGAAGGTGTCGCCTACTTGCATGATCTAGATATAGTTCATAGAGATTTGAAACCTGAAAATTTATTATTTAATGATAAATCTAAAGATGCAAATCTCATGATAACTGATT